TTCTATTAAATCCGTGATTTGCTGCTTCTATGTTTACACAGAGATGCAAAAGTTTCTAGCACTTCCCATCCCTTTTAAGAAGATCCTCTTGTCGCATACATCTGAGACACCAGAGTTTTATATTAGTAAAAGGATTAAGTTTCAGCACTTGAGTACTAGTTTTTTTTTAAATTCTGCTCTGTGACTGAGACGTATGCATAAACACTAATGCTGTATTATAAAGGACAAAGTTATTCAAGAAAAAGAACTTGTGGGCTGGGGATTTAGCTTAGTGGTTCAGTGGCCTGCCTTGCAAGCGCAAGGACCAGAGTTCAATCCCCAGTACTGGTAAGGGGCGGGGGGTGGGGGTAAGAAAAAGAATTTATGCTCCTATTTGAATTGTAAACTAAGGTAAGACCTTTTTTCTGGATTTTTTTTGGGGGGTGGGGTACCAGGGATCAGGGATAGAAGTCTCAGGACCTTGCACTTGCAAGGCAAGCACGGGCACCATTCGCTAAATCCTGGACCCTGGAATATTATTTTTACTTGGAATAATGGCTAAGAAAAAACTGCGATTATTCAGCCTTATGTATAAACAACTGAATATGTGTTTATGATAATATTCAGGCTTTCAGTGGAAAAATGAGATCATGAAAATCTTGTACCCACTACTTTTAGCTTAATAGTTTCTGGCTGTTTCAAGATTTTTTATTTTTTATTTTTTTAATAAAAGAGGTGGTATTAAAATGTGATTTTTAAAAATTTTTATCTTTTATGAGTACATGTTTACAGTACATAATGATCACATTCTTTGTGGAGAACTGGTACATGTACATGACACATCACAGTTTTTTTTTCATCCCCTTCTCCTGTCCTCCCTCCAGTCTCCCTGAATTTCTTGGTTCCCCTCCCATTTGCAAAAGATCTGTCTCCCTTCTTCCTATTATCTTTTATTTTGTTCTTCATTTATACTGAGGGTTTCTCATGTAAGAGAAAGGATAAGATATTTGAGCTTGTGTATCTGATTTATTTCACTTAGGATTTTGGTCTCAAGGTGTATCCGTTTTCTTACAGATGACTGAAGTTTATGGTTCTTTATGGCAGAGTAGTACTCTATTATGTATAAATATCATGTTTTATTTATCTATTCATCTATTGATGGACTTAAAGGCTATTTCCAAGTTTCAGCTGATATGAATTGTGCTGCTATAAATACGGATATGAATGTATCACTGTATATGATATCTTTAACTCTTTTGGGAAAATACCTAGAAGGGGCATAGCTGGGTCAAATGGAATTTTTAGTTTTTTAAGGACTGTCCACACTGATTTTCATAACTGTTGTACTATTTTACATTCTTACCAACAATGTAGAGGAGTTTGTTTTACCTCACAGCCTTGACAGCATTTTTTATTATTAGATTTCTTGATGGTAGCCATTTGTTCTAGAGTAAAATGGACTCACAGTGTTGTTTCAATTTGCATTTTTCTAAGGATTAGTGATGTTGAACATTTACCTTGTATTTATTGGGCATATATACTCCTATTCATTTTAGATGCCTGGGTTTTTTTAATCTTATATGTTGGGGGGGTGTAAGTTTTTTTAGTTCTTTTTATATTCTAGATATTAGTCCTCTGTCTGAGGAATAGCTGGAAAATTTTTTTCCCATGAAATTTCTTATTTCTCCATCAATTTTGAAAGATTGTTTTGCAGGATACATCAGTCTGGATTGGCAGCTGTTTTTATTTTTAGGATGTGAAACACATCAGTTTAATATCTTTTGACCTTTAAGGTTTGTGTTGAGAAGTTGGCTATAATTCTTTGTATTATTTCCTGTATGATTGAGGTTTTGTTCATAAAGTCTGCCTACATGTATATCTTGAAGAGTTCTACCTGTTCTGTCTTCCAATAGATTTAGGGTTTCTGTTGTAATATTTAGGTCTTAGATTCATTTCAGTTTTGGTTTTGTGCTTGGGTATAGATACAGGTCTAGGTTTAATCTTTAAGATGTGGAAAGCCATTTTTTACAGTACCATTTATTAAAGAGGCTGTCTTTCTTCCAGAGAAGGTTTTTGGCCCCTTTGTCAAAGACAAGGTGGCTAAAGATGTTTGGAGTTGTTTCTGAGTCTCTTAATCTATTCCATTGATGCTCAGGTCTACTTTTTCGCCAGTACCTTAGTATAATTTCAAGTCAGTGACTGTAAAGCTCCCTGCCTTGCCTTTGTTGCCTGGAATTGGTTTTGCTATTTTAGGTCTCTTCTGGTTCCAAATGAATTTTAGGATTGTTTTCTCTAATTCCGTGAGGTATAGTGTTTGTATTTGATTGGGATTACATTAAATCTGTATAATAGTTTTGGAAATATGGGCATTTTCACTATTATTGGTTCTTCCTACCCAAGAACAAGGATATCTTTCCATTTTCTGATCTTCTTTTAGAATACTGTAGTTGTCCATGTAGAGGTATTTTACTTCCATCATTAGATTGATTCCCAAGCATTTCGTTTTTTTTGATGCTATTGTCATTCGTTTTTGTATCATTTTTTTGTTAAGATAAGCCCATTTTTTATTAGTGTCTTCTATAAACTCTTTGTTTTGTTATCTTTGAGCTTACCTTATTCTAACTTGTTTTTATATCTTCTGTTATCCTTTCAAATAATTCAGCTGTGTGGCTCTTAATTTCCTCCTCCTTGATCCTCCTTAAATTAGTTTTGGGGGGAGTTCGAAGTTTTTGGAAGTATTTTGTTGGCTGTCTCCTCATGTTTCTGTTGTTTTTTTTGTTTGCTTGGCTTGTGCTGAGATTTGCGAGTTGATGATAGTGGAAAACTTTGTTGGTAGTATGGAGACCTCCTAGTGCCTGCTTTTCACTGATGCACTTTGAATGATGTGTCTAATTATAGGCCTGTTCCAAGATCTCACCACTTTCATTTAGTTCAGAGGGGAATCTGCAGTTTTTTTGGTCCAGCACCCCATTCTCCAGGAATGGCCTGAAGTATTGTTAATGACACAAAGACAATTTAGATATTGGCATACAGAGAAAACCTATTAATAGCAAGAACTATGCATCTTGGCAATATCAATAAATTCAGCAGCTATAGTAATTGTTCTACCTGTTCTATCTTCCAATAGAGTGAGGGTTTCTGTTTCAGTATTTAGGTCTTAGATTCATTTCAATTTTGGTTTCATGCATAGGGAGAGGTACTGGTCCAGGCTTAATCCTAGACAAATTGGATATTAACATACCCTAAGAAACAGTGATGTACCACCCTTCAGCATAGAAAAGAGATCTGTAAGTATAGTATAAACACTAGAACAACCAAATATTAACATAAATATCTGCTAAATGTATTATTTATACCTCCACTAATAATAGAACAGTATTCAACAATAAGAGGATAGTGATAATTATTTAAAGATTTATAAAGCCTAAATGTTATACCATTAAGGATAAGGGGGTAAGCAATTGAAGAATAAAAAAAAAGTAGAATTTGAAAAATTAATCAGTGGAGGTTGAAGAGAGAAATGTATAAAGGATCCTATTGAGGAATAAAAGGAAATTAATAGTTTTAGATAAAACTAACAAAAAAGAACAAAGGAAAGAAGGAAAAAACCCAGCAACATAAACATAAAAAGAAAAATAAAATGGGCATGGTGGTGCACACCTGTAATCCCAGCACTTGGGAGGCTGAGGCAAGAGGATTGCTACAAGTGTGAAGCCAGCCTGAGCTACATACTGAGTTCAAGATAACCTGAACCCCATAGCGAGACCCCATCTCAAAGAAAAAGAAAGGAAACTATTAAAAGGAGAAAAGAAAAAAGGAGAAACCCCTTCTTATATCCTCCCTCCCCCAAATAAATGAAGGCAAGGGGAAAAATTAAGTAAATTTTTTTTCCTCTGCCTGTTTGAATGAATAGTTTCTTTTTGGGTTCTGCAGAAAGTCACAGTTTTCTCCATCTAGATATATGGGCTGTGAGTTTGTAAGTGTCCCCTTTGCTGCAGAAGCCCCTCTATCAACATACCCCATACTGTGGCAACTGGTCAAGCCAAGGTGTGTCCTTGATCATTTTGACAGATGGAGAGAGCAGTCAGGCTACTGGTCTGTGCTAGATGTTGGCAGTGGGATGAGTTTTGAAGCAGAAAAGAAAAACTTGATACCTGTACTTTCAGATCCACTTGCCTTTGAAAACCACACTGCCCAGGCCTGTTTTCTTACCACAGAGGCAAAACCCATGTTCTTCCCGTCCTCAGTGTAAACATCTGAGGGGTTTGATGTTATCCTGCAGCCTCTCTGCAACTGTCTTCTGTGGCTGTCTCTCAGTCATTTTGGGAGAGTAACACTGGGAACCCTGAAGTGAAGTTGTTTTGTGGCCCAGTCTTATATAATCAATTCCTCCCTGAGATGGCACCTGTTAAACTTTTAGGTAGTGTAGTGGGCTCTGCATTGGATTTCTTCATCAACTCTAGCCTACCATGGGGAAAGATTCACTTTGGGAGCCACACTGTTTTGTACTTCACAGTAGGTGTAAGCTTTACTTGGGGCTAGTACTGCCGGTTTGTCTGTTTTTTTTTCTCTCTGAAGCTGATAATTCTTTGGGCTTATTTTTTCTCTTGGGTGTTGACCCTGTCCCTGATCAGGTCAGTCAGTTGGTCTGTGCTTCTGCTGCCCCATGCCAAGGGGAAACAAAGAACAATGTGGCCTCTCAGTTGTCAGGTGAATGTGGACAGGGAGTAGAAATGGAGTTGGCTAGGCAGGTTCTGTCAGTATGGCATTTGCCCCAGTGAGTGGTTCTAGAAAATGTTAGTGGGGGTTATTGAATAATGAAATGTATCAACATCTAATTCCCCTCATTCGGGGAATCAATATTTTACAGATGACCAAAGTATAATGTTATAAAATTATACATGGGTAAAAGATTCATTCATTGCACATGGTAGAACAATGGATATTAATGACCAGTTATAAACAATTTTCATTAACTTTGTCACCAGTATTTAACTTATTGATTTATATCCTTTTAAAATTAAAATATGGAATCTTCCATAAATTTGTATTTTGTCCTTGCTCAGGGGCTATGTTAATCTTCTGTATAACATTGCAATTTTAGTATATATGCTGTGAAGGTAAGCATACAAGCATTAACTTTTAAGGTTAAGAGTAATACAAGAAGGGCCCTTTTACTGTATATAGTGAGTATCAGTACTGAAAGTCTCAGTTACAAATCACCGAGAAAAAATAAAGAAAAATTAAGGATTGGAAAAATGAGATGAATATCTATTTACAAAAGCAACTGACTTTCTATAAAATACATTTTAAAAGACAGAATGACTTGTACTACTAAGAAAAATAAAATACCAAGGAATAAATCTAAGAAAATGTGTACATGATGTGTGTGGAAGAAATGATAAGACTTTGAAATATATTGAAGGCCTAAATAGGTATATAGAGGGAACTATACAATTTAGAAGATGGAGACTTTGTGAAGATGTATATATACATTTATCTGTAGATTTATGTAATTGCAGTCATTATCTTAGTTGGATTTTTCATGGAACATGAATGTTATACTATGTGAAATAAGCCAACACAAAAGGAAAATAATATGGTTCCATTTAGATGATGAATATAAATTTGTAGAGACCAAAAAAATAAATGTTATCATGTCCTGAAGGAGGGGAGAATTGGGAGTTATTGTTTAATGAGTGCAGTGTTTCTTCTTGAAAACTTCTAAAAACAGTGTTGTGAGTGTGTTTCAGATTTTGTTACAATTTCATTCCTTTTTAATAGTGAACAGTATTCCATTGTTTGTATGTACCATATGAATCCATTCATTGGGCAGCGTTTTCTTTAGGGGTGCAGACATAGATTTTGGAAAGGTAAAGGGAAGGACTAACCCAAAGTTCTGGAGGAAGGAGTGGGAGGGATGCAATTTGAGAAGGGGATGATGATATATTTAAGGTAATGGTAATGGTCTCTTTCTAGAGTACTAAGTGTTCATTTTATTAATAAAGTAGTATTTATATTTCATACCTTAATATGTATGATATATTTTATAATTTGTTTAAAAAGTTAAAATGATAATGCCATGAATTGAATTTTCAGTGTCTTGTGAGAAACCTAATAGGTGAAGTATTAGTACATGACAGAATCTTTGAGAACATTCTGTGTATTAAAGTTCTGAAAAATCATTATGTCTAAGTAAGTTTCTGATAATCTCCTGCCTCTGGTCTACTTATATGGGAGAAGGAATTAAATATCTAGCATATGGTTTATTATGTGTGTGATATTCTAATAGAGAAAGCCAAATACTTTCATAGAAGAGGCACTATACATTTACTCATCTTGGTGTTCATAATATATGAAATTGCCTACAGTGAACTATTTTGTAAGAGATAGAATAGAAATATTCTGACTTGAATAACTTAGGTAAGTACCCTCACTATCTTCCTAGTGAATACAGAGTACTCCATTTAGCTGCATTGCTTGATTCCATTATATTATATACCATGTTGTTAGCTTTATCTAGAAAAAAGAGGCAAGATTTACTACATATATTTTTGGTAAAATCCATATTGTTTAGGGTATTTATAAAAAAAAGCCCTAAAGAAAAAAGTCTTGAGTCTTATTTGAACATATTCCTTTTATATTAGTTTGTTTCTGATTAGAAAAAAATACTATAGTATCTTTTGTCTTTCATGGTCATGTACAGAAAAAAGTTTATTCATAGGTTTTTTTTGGTACTGGGGATCGAACTTGGGACCTTGTGCGTGGGAGGCAGGCGGCGGAATCACTGAGCTAAATCCCTGGCCCCATAGATACTTTTGTTGTTATCACCTGAATCACAAAGAGAATACATTGAGGTAAAGTTGACTATAGGTATATAGCAAAGTGGAAACCATGCCTGAATTTTAATAATGCAACTACATTATTTTGAATTAAACATTTTGCACTGATTTGTGAATTTTTCTCATTTCATGAAAGGCAATCCTGGTTGGATCCTGTTTATAAACTTAGTGTAATAACCCAGATTAAATGATCTATGAAAATTAACAGCCACCCTCTTTCTGCTGAATGCTAAGCATTTTCATATATTATTGCAAAAATTTCTGTAGGGCATATTTCTAAGATAGGAATATGGTTAATCATAAGATTTGCATTATTCAACTTTACAGGGTAATGCCAAGTTTTTCTCTAAAGTTCTGTATCAGTTGAAACTCTCCAGCAATATAAAAGAGTTTGCATTGTACATTCTTAGTATTGTTCAGCTTTTAAAAATATATGCCTATTAAAATGGATACATATTGAGGATATACTCCTAAGTGAAATAAATAAGTCACACATGTGTATAAATGCTGAATAGTTTCTCTGCTATGAAAAACTATAATAGTACATAAGATCCTAATAAGATAATTGACCATGTGAAATAGGAAGAAAAGGGCTAAAGGTGTAGGGAAAGTGGGAAGGTAGGGGAAAGGTAATAAGGGAAAAGAAAAAACATGAGAAAATGAAAAAATGGAAATAAAGTGTTTGTAAATGGGGAGGGGAGGAGGGGGTGAAGGGAGGGCAGGGACAAGGAGAGAAAATGAGAACCAAGACCTGTCATGTAAAGGTACAAGATCCCAATAATAAATGTAACTGTACTGTGTACCTAAAATGTACCAATAAACTCAATAAAAAAAAATTACAGTGAGAGGGCCTGGAATTTAGCTCAGTGGTGCCACTACATGCCTTGCAAGTGCAAAGTCCCAAGTATGATCCCTGGTACCACACACACACACAAAAAAAAAAAAAAAAAAAAAGAAAGAAAAGAAATTTTTGTTAAAATAATTTCATGTAAGTGCTTCCTAAAATTAGTAGTGGTAAAAGTGTGTGTGTGTTGGAGAGGACTGGTAGTGACAGTGTTCCTAGGTCTACTAATTTAGGGGTATATAGGAATGAGATGAAGGTATGCATGTGTTTTGACAGGATATCCTAATTTTACATAGTTTTAGTTTTTAAATAGACACTAAAGCTTAATAATCTCTGGTTAAATGATACAGGTAATTGTGTGTAGAATTTAGTAGATTTTATTGCTTATGTAAGTAACTTACCAAATACTTAAAACCTCCTGTTTGTCATAAATGTGAGTTAAACAGGAAAGCTTTTCTATATATTTGTGTTCTAAAAAATGAAATTGACAGAATGTTGATTATAATATGTTAGATTTTACAGGAACCATCGTTCAACTGAACTTTCAAACTTAGGCTTATTTTCAAGTTATCTTTATTTTTGTAGTTTGATTTTTTAAATAAAATTAAATAATTATATTAAGGCATCAGGGTCATACTTTGTGAAACAGATTTAACCAAAACTGAAAATAATATGTGACAGTTTCTATGTCATGCTTTCAAAACAGGCTTTAAATCCTATATTGTGTGTAGAAGTTGTTAGCTATTCTAAAGGTACAATAAGAGATTATTGTTCATATCAGTGTAATAAATTGATACTCCCTGATCGTACTTTTTCATTTTGTATATTGTCAGAACCTTGGACCTTAATCTTATTCTTTGATTGACAGTAGCAAACAGGGAAAGAACACTTGTATTGTTTGGGATAGTCACATCTGTTCAACTCTATTCAGTTGAGGGTATTTGCATATTCTTAAGTATTTCTTCTGAGAGGGCTTAAATCCTTCTCAAGTGCTTGATGCATTTCTGAAATTCATTCATAAGGTATCTACATGCACTAATAGTTCTGTATTATATTGCTATACATAATCTGACAGATAAGACCACATTTTAAAACCAGATATTCTTTAGGGATGTTACATTACATTTGTACTTAATTCTACTGGGCAGAAATGTCAGGCTTTTTTTTTTTTTTAAAAGAATATCTTTTATTTTGATCAAATTAGTATATCCTTATTTTGGGCAAATTTGTCAATCAAAGAACAAATAAAGATTTATTAAATTGTAATTCAAATGTATTAATGGCAGCTTTTCCTGCCTTTCTTGGGAGATTGAGTAATTTTATAGAAAATAATAGAACTCAAGTGGACATTTAAGGTCTTCCTTATTTTATAGGAAAGGTTATGGAGGATCAAGTTTCTTAACTTGTTCAAGGTCACATATTGGGAACTAATCCTTAAATGTTGCTTTTAAATCTCGGATCAGTCAATCTTAACGAATAATGGTATATGACCTCTGATTTACATTATTATAAATTATCCTACATTTAAAAATTTTCCCTTCCCATTAGAACACAGTCAGGGATTATGCCTTATCATCATCTCTCTCCAGAATTTACAGTGATCTACATAAAGTTAAGGCCAGTCATTATTTTGCTGTCCTCTTCTCCTTTGTCTCTTAGGCTATTATTCTGTAAAGGAAAATTATGAAAATGAAATTTTAAACACTTTGATATCAAACAAGTTTCATTTTGCATTCTATTTTTGATGAATTGGATATGCTGAAAAGAATTTTGAGATTCTGCTGCTAGCAGTGTTTCCATGGACATGGGATCAGAGAAACTGATTCTTTCTTTGGAAGGGAGAGGAAATTATGCACTGGCATGATCAGAGAAGGCTTTGGGAAAAAATAAGGCTCAGGCCACAAGATAGATACAATTTAGATTCTGTAAACCAGGCATGGAGGAGCACACCTGTAAACCCAGAAGTTTGGGAAGCTGAGCCAGGATTGCTAGTTCAAGTCCTACCTGGACAATTTAGTTAGACCCTGTGTCAAATAAAGAATAGGGGATATAGTTCAATGTCAGAGCACCCCTGGGTTTGATTCCCACGGATGGACACAGACACACACAGACACACACACACACGCACACACACACACACACACACACACACCAATTTAAGAAGAATGCCTAGGCTGGGAGTTCCATTAAAAAAAAAAAGGCCAGGGATTTAGCTCAGCGGTTTGGTGGCCTGCCTTGTAAGCACAAAGACCAAAGTTCAATCCCC